CCCCGTCCGTTTACAGTCTGCTTTATTGTCCAACGAATCCATTTGAAACCAGTCAAGGGTTTGGACCAGTCAAGAGTTCGGACCAGTCGAGGGTTCGGAACCAGTCTGATCTGATCAGTGGGTCACTTATTTAAAACATACTGGTCGGTGATTTGGGCTAACCCATGAAGGATCTACTGGAAATTATCTGCCCGAGTAATATGTGATTTGATTGTTACAAAAGTATAACTTGCGTGCTGAAGAACCGGTGAATTGCTGGTAGCTCCTACAATGACGAACGGTCGAGCCTCAACCCTTGTTTATCAATCGCTGTATCTAGCTTTTCTAGGTTTTTTTCATCTCCACCACAATAAATGCTATATTATCACTATAGTTGACTGGTGGAAATTTTGGAGGAAGGACACTTTTTCTGTAGTAATAATTGCTTCTCATTGTGTATATTGCGACCGCTGGTAACTACAGGTTATATGAGATTCATAGTATACGTCTGGTATTTCAAGAAAAAAGAAACTAACGAAAGTCACTCCACTCCACTAAGTACCATTATAATACTGGTTAGTTGCTACTACAACACTGTATTCTGCTATTCACTGGTATCACTAGATTACAGTATATGCGAGTACACTAGCAGGCCAGGAAGATTATTAAAACAGCTGACCTCTTTGGTAAGTTTCTGGCGACTTCTGGCACCTGCCTCTATAGGCTTATCACTTCATTTACAAATTCACCTGTTTTCAAATGACACTTTAGCCTTTATCATCTATATACTAGGGAGCCACTGTAGTATACACTATACACTATGTATACACAATATTATCAGGGAGACTTGTCTTTCCTCTGACAAAGAAAAGTTCTATTTATTATTATTTTGCACATGGAACACAGGCCTATGATTCCCCTCTGGCAGTAAACTCTGCTAGGTAGTGCACACTAATTCTCCTTTTTTGACTCAGTATATAATGTTTTCCGCCCAAGATTGGTTCCAGGTGCTAGAGGGATGTATTGTATAGGATTGATGGCACAAATTAAAGTTCTAGCACGTAAGAGCGACCGTGTAAACACGAGAAAACACGGAGCACAACGGGGCATGCTGACACAAGCTACTAGTGACTCTTGTGGAGGAACATCACCCTAACCCTCTCCCCTCCTCCCATCTTCCATACTCCAATAAGTCTTCAATAAAGGTGTGATATTATTGTTTTATACTCAATTTCTCATTCCTTTCTGTATGTAAATCTATATTTACTCTATAAAAAAATAATTTTTGTTAATACTTTCAGGTGTCTGGAACGGATTAATTGGATTTACATTATTTCTTATAGGGAAAATTAATTCGGAAATCATCAGATTCGGATTTAGTCACTCTCTGGAACTGATTAATTACAAAAACCGGGGGTCCACTGTATATACTACCCTTTAATTTTTTTTTAACTTAAATTGTCAATATTGTTCTCTGTTACTATTCCCTAATAAAATTGGCATTACAATTTTTTTTTTTAATACATGCTGGCTGTCTCTCACCGAGGCAGCATGACCCAAAAAAGAAACACTTTCACCATCATTCACACATGATCACTGTCTTTGCAGAAGTGCCCAGATATGACAGTTTAGATGTCACTCCAGTTTAGATGTAGAGGCACTGTACTTCCCACCTCCAGGACTCAAGTTCAGCTAACCGGTTTCCATGAATCCCTTCAGAAAATATTACCCTGCTCACACTCCAACAGTTTGTCGGGTTCCAAAAACCATTTGTCTCCATTCACTCTTATCTAACACGCTCACACATGCCTGCTGCATGTCCAGGCCCCTTCCACACAAAACCTCTTTTACACCCTCCCTCCATCCTTTTGTAGGATGACCCCCTACCCCACCTCCCCTTCACTACAGATTTATACACCCTCCAAGTCAAGACAAAATTATATTATTTAAAATACTCACTTTATTAGTAATGCTATCCTCAGATAAACTACAGCAGTTCAAGCAACCTTAGAATTCACATAATTAACAACGAACTAATCCATGTCAAGTAATTTTAAAGAAGGTTTATGTTAGTGTTTATGTGCCTGAATTGCAATAATCAAGGTCTTTTCCATGTACCAACTACTAACAATGTAAAACGGCATCTGTAAATCAATGCGTATTATTTTTTTTATTTTTATTATCACACTGGCCGATTCCCACCAAGGCAGGGTGGCCCGAAAAAGAAAAACTTTCACCATCATTCACTCCATCACTGTCTTGCCAGAAGGGTGCTTTACACTACAGTTTTTAAACTGCAACATTAACACCCCTCCTTCAGAGTGCAGGCACTGTACTTCCCATCTCCAGGACTCAAGTCCGGCCTGCCGGTTTCCCTGAACCCCTTCATAAATGTTACTTTGCTCACACTCCAACAGCACGTCAAGTATTAAAAACCATTTGTCTCCATTCACTCCTATCAAACACGCTCACGCATGCCTGCTGGAAGTCCAAGCCCCTCGCACACAAAACCTCTTTACCCCCTCTCTCCAACCTTTCCTAGGCGACCCTACCCTGCCTTCCTTCCACTACAGACTGATACACTCTTGAAGTCATTCTGTTTCGCTCCATTCTCTCTCACATGTCCGAACCACCTCAACAACCCTTCCTCAGCCCTCTGGACAACAGTTTTGGTAATCCCGCACCTCCTCCTAACTTCCAAACTACGAATTCTCTGCATTATATTCACACCACACATTGCCCTCAGACATGACATCTCCACTGCCTCCAGCCTTCTCCTCGCTGCAACATTCATCACCCATGCTTCACACCCATATAAGAGCGTTGGTAAAAACTATACTCTCATACATCCCCTCTTTGCCTCCAAGGACAAAGTTCTTTGTCTCCACAGACTCCTAAGTGCACCACTCACTCTTTTCCCCTCATCAATTCTATGATTCACCTCATCTTTCATAGACCCATCGCTGACACGTCCACTCCAAATATCTGGATACATTCACCTCCTCCATACTCTCTCCCTCCAATCTGATATTCAATCTTTCATCACCTAATCTTTTTGTTATCCTCATAACCTTACTCTTTCCTGTATTCACCTTTAATTTCCTTCTTTTGCACATCCTACCAAATCATCCACCAATCTCTGCAACTTCTCTTCAGAATCTCCCAAGAGCACAGTGTCATCAACAAAGAGCAGCTGTGACAACTTCCACTTTGTGTGTGATTCTTTATCTTTTAACTCCACGTCTCTTGCAAGACCCTCGCATTTACTTCTCTTACAACCCCATCTATAAATATATTAAACAACCACGGTGACATCACACATCCTTGTCTAAGGCCTATTTTTAATGGGAAAAAATTTCCATCTTTCCTACATACTCTAACTTGAGCCTCACTATCCTCGTAAAAACTCTTCACTGCTTTCAGTAAACTACCTCCTACACCATACATTTTGCAACATCTGCCACATTGCCCCCCTATCCACCCTGTCTACGCCTTTTCCAAATCCATAAATGCCACAAAGACTCTTTAGCCTTACTAAATACTGTTCACTTATATGTTTCACTGTAAACACCTGGTCCCCCAAAACCCCCTACCTTTCCTAAAGCCTCCTTGTTCATCTGCTATCCTATTCTCTGTCTTACTCTTAATTCTTTCAATAATAACTCTACCATACACTTTACCAGATATACTCAGCAGACTTATCCCCTATAATTTTTGCACTCTTTTTATCCCCTTGCCTTTATACAAAGGAAACTATGCATGCTCTCTGCCAATCCCTAGTACCTTACCCTTTCCATACATTTATTAAATAATTGCACCAACCACTCCAAAACTATATCCCACCTGCTTTTAACATTTCTATCTTTACCCCATCAATCCCAGCTGCCTTACCCCCTTCTTTTTACCTACTGCCTCACGAACTTCCCCACACTCACAACTGGCTCTTCCTCACTCCAAACAAGATGTTATTCTCCCTTGTCCTATACACGAAATCACAGCTTCCCTATCTTCATAAACTTTTAAAACAATTCCTCAAATATTCCCTCCATCTTCCCAATACCTCTAACTCTCCATTTAAAAAACTCTCCTCTCCTATTTTTAACTGACAATCCATTGTTCTCTATGCTTTCTTAACTTGTTAATCTCACTCCAAAACTTTTTCTTATTTTCAAAAAAAATTTGTTGATAACATCTCACCCACTCTCTCATTTGCTCTCTTTTTACATTGCTTCACCACTCTCTTAACCTCTCTTCTTTTCTCCATATACTCTTCCCTCCTTGCATCACTTTCTATTTTGTAAAAACTTCTCACATGCTAACTTTTTCTCCCTTACTACTCTCTTTACATCATCATTCCACCAATCGCTCCTCTTCCCTCCCGCACCCACTTTCCTGTAACCACAAACTTCTGCTGAACACTCTAACACTACATTTTTAAACCTACCCCATACCTCTTCGACCCCATTGCCTATGCCTCCTCTTTTAGTTTATAAACCTTCACCTCTCTCTTCCCTGATACTTCTATTCTCCTTGTATCCCATCTACCTTTTACTCTCAGTGTAGCTACAACTAGAAAGTATTAATGAGCATAAAAGGTTGTGAGGTACATCATCTGTTTCTTGACGTACATCACAAGGTTTACCGGTATTTATTCTATAAAACCAGGACGTTTTGGCCTGTATGAAAATCCTACTCTGTGTAAAATAAAACATTATCTCCTCTGTCATATACAGCTGCATAATTTAATATAAAAAGCCTACTCATATATATTTGAAGAAAAATTTGGAGTCCAACTGGGCAGAGCAAAAAAATAGATAAACTACATTGAACCATATACAAACTAATAATAATTTCACAATGACATGAAAATGTTAGAATATTACAATACCAAAAAAATTATGCCATATCACATGACCACCTCAGTTGAAGAGGCCAAATGATACGACAATGATTCTGCATTTCTGGCTTTGTTAAAATGTGGATTTCTATAACTGAACATCTAAAAGATTTTATGCGCATACCTTCATTAGAATAACATTGTTTACGTGAGTGCGTGCTGCCTGTGTTCCAGCCACAAAGTAGCAAGTAACAGGAGTGTTGCAAGTACGATTGTCCCCCAGATCATCCGGCAAAATGTCAAAGCTCAAGCAGGGCGCACCTGAATGAAAAAGAGGGATTATTAAAATTCTAACTCTAAATACACATCTTTATATTCAAACATGAGTACAGAAAATCATCAGAGTAAACTAGGCAAATACAAGATTCACTTTCCCATTATAGTCTGCCTTGTCCATTATCGCTGCACTGGATCCCAGAGTGTGGAGTTATTTGTGTTGCCCTGGATCCCAGAGTGTGGAATTACCTGTGTTGCCCTTGATCCCAGAGTGTGGAGTTATTTGTGTTGCCCTGGATCCCAGAGTGTGGAATTACCTGTGTTGCCCTTGATCCCAGAGTGTGGAGTTATTAGTGTTGCCCTGGATCCTAGAGTGTGGAGTTATCTGTGTTGCCCTGGATCCCAGAGGGTGGAGTTACCTGTGTTGTCCTAGATCCCAGAGGGTGGAGTTACCTGTGTTGCCCTAGATCCCAGAGGGTGGAGTTACCTGTGTTGCCCTAGATCCCAGAGGGTGGAGTTACCTGTGTTGCCCTGGATCCCAGAGTGTGGAGTTATTTGTGTTGCCCTAGATCCCAGAGGGTCGAGTTATTTGTTGGGGTTAGCTGCAGTGCCCTGGACCCCAGAGTGTGGAGTTATCTGTGTTGCCCTGGATCCCAGAGTGTGGAGTTACCTGTGTTGCCCTGGATCCCAGAGTGTGGAGTTACCTGTGCTGCCCTGGATCCTAGTGTGTGGAGTTAGCTGCAGTGCCCTGGACTCCAGAGTGTGGAGTTACCTGTGTTGCCCTGGATCCCAGAGTGTGGAGTTACCTGTGTTGCCCTGGATCCCAGTGTGTGGAGTTAGCTGCAGTGCCCTGGATCCCAAAGTGTGGAGTTACCTGTGTTGCCCTGGATCCCAGAGTGTGGAGTTACCTGTGTTGCCTTGGATCCCAGAGTGTGGAGTTACCTGTGTTGCCCTGGACCCCAGAGTGTAGTTACCTGCACTGCCCTGGACCCCAGAGTGTAGTTACCTGCACTGCCCTGGACCCCAGAGTGTAGTTACCTGCACTGCCCTGGACCCCAGAGTGTAGTTACCTGCACTGCCCTGGACCCCAGAGTGTAGTTACCTGCACTGTCCTGGACCCGAGAATGTAGTTACCTGCACTGCCCTGGACCCCAGAGTGTAGTTACCTGCACTGCCCTGGACCCCAGAGTATAATTACCTGCACTGCCCTGGACAACAGAGTGTAGTTACCTGCACTGCCCTGGACCCCAGAGTGTAGTTACCTGCACTGCCCTGGACCCCAGAGTGTAGAGTTACCTGCATTGCCCTGGACCCCAGAGTGTAGTTAGCTGCACTGCCCTGGACCCCAGAGTGTAGTTACCTGCACTGCCCTGGACCCCAGAGCGTAGAGTTACCTGCACTGCCCTGGACCCCAGAGTGTAGTTACCTGCATTGCCCTGGACCCCAGAGTGTAGTTACCTACACTGCCCTGGACCCCAGAGTGTAGAGTTACCTGCACTGCCCTGGACCCCAGAGTGTAGTTACCTACACTGCCCTGGACCCCAGAGTGTAGAGTTACCTGCACTGCCCTGGACCCCAGAGTGTAGAGTTACCTGCAGTGCCCTGGACCCCAGAGTGTAGAGTTACCTGCACTGCCCTGGACCCCAGAGTGTAGTTACCTGCACTGCCCTGGACCCCAGAGTGTAGTTACCTGCACTGCCCTGGACCCCAAAGTGTAGAGTTACCTGCACTGCCCTGGACCCCAGAGTGTAGTTAGCTGCACTGCCCTGGACCCCAGAGTGTAGTTAGCTGCACTGCCCTGGACCCCAGAGTGTAGTTACCTGCACTGCCTTGGACCCCAGAGTGTAGTTACCTGCACTGCCCTGGACCCCAGAGTGTAGTTACCTGCACTGCCCTGGACCCCAGAGTGTAGAGTTACCTGCACTGCCCTGGACCCCAGATGTAGTACCTGCACTGCCCTACCCGAGTGTAGTCACCTGCATTGCCCTGGACCCCAGAGTGTAGAGTTACCTGCACTGCCCAGGACCCCAGAGTGTAGAGTTATCTGCATTGCCCTGGACCCCAGAGTGTAGAGTTACCTGTACTGCCCTGGACCCCAGAGTGTAGTTAGCTGCACAGCCCTGGACCCCAGAGTGTAGTTACCTGCACTGCCCATGACCCCAGAGTGTAGTTACCTGCACTGCCCTGGACCACAGAGTGTAGTTACCTGCACTGCCCTGGACCCCAGAGTGTAGTCACCTGCACTGCCCTGGACCCCAGAGTGTAGTCACTTGCACTGCCCTGGACCCCAGAGTGTACTTACCTGCACCGCCCTGGACCCCAGAGTGTAGTTACCTGCACTGCCCTGGACCCCAGAGTGGTTACCTGCACTGCCCTGGACCCCAGAGTGTACTTACCTGCACTGCCCTGAACCCCAGAGTGTAGTTACCTGCACTACCCTGGACCCCAGAGCATAGAGATACCTGCACTGCCCTGGACCCCAGAGTGTAGTTACCTACACTGCCCTGGACCCCAGAGTGTAGTTACCTGCACTGCCCTGGACCCCAGAGTGTAGTTACCTGCACTGCCCTGGACCCCAGAGTGTAGTTACCTACACTGCCCTGGACCCCAGAGTGTAGAGTTACCTGCACTGCCCTGGACCCCAGAGTGTAGAGTTACCTGCGCTGCCCTGGACCCCAGAGTGTAGTTACCTGCACTGCCCTGGACCCCAGAGTGTAGTTACCTGCACTGCCCTGGACCCCAGAGTGTAGAGTTACCTGCACTGCCCTGGACCCCAGAGTGTAGTTAGCTGCACTGCCCTGGATCCCAGAGTGTAGTTAGCTGCACTGCCCTGGACCCCAGAGTGTAGTTACCTGCACTGCCCTGGACCCGAGTGTAGTTACCTGCACTGCCCTGAACCCCAGAGTGTAGTCACCTGCACTGCCCTGGACCCCAGAGTATAGTCACTTGCACTGCCCTGGACCCCAGAGTGTAGTTACCTGCACTGCCCTGGACCCCAGAGTGTAGTTACCTGCACTGCCCTGGACCCCAGAGTGTAGTTACCTGCACTGTCCTGGACCCCAGTGTAGAGTCACCTGCACTGCCTTGGACCCCAGAGTGTAGTTACCTGCACTGCCCTGGACCCCAGAGTGTAGAGTTACCTGCACTGCCCTGGACCCCAGAGTGTAGTTAGCTGCACTGCCCTGGATCCCAGAGTGTAGTTAGCTGCACTGCCCTGGACCCCAGAGTGTAGTTACCTGCACTGCCCTGGACCCGAGTGTAGTTACCTGCACTGCCCTGAACCCCAGAGTGTAGTCACCTGCACTGCCCTGGACCCCTGAGTATAGTCACTTGCACTGTCCTGGACCCCAGAGTGTAGTTACCTGCACTGCCCTGGACCCCAGTGTAGTTACCTGCACTGCCCTGGACCCCAGAGTGTAGTTACCTGCACTGCCCTGGACCCCAGAGTGTTGTTACCTGCACTGCCCTGGACCCCAGAGTGTAGTTACCTGCACTGCCCTGGACCCCAGAGTGTAGTTACCTGCACTGCCCTGGACCCCAGAGTGTAGTCACCTGCACTGCCCTGGACCCCAGAGTGTAGTTACCTACACTGCCCAAGACCCCAGAGTGTAGTCACCTGCATTGCCCTGGACCCCAGAGTGTACAGTTACCTGCACTGCCCTGGACCCCCGAGTGTAGAGTTACCTGCATTGCCCTGGACCCCAGAGTGTAGTTACCTGCACTGCCCTGGACCCCAGAGTGTAGTCACCTGCACTGCCCTGGACCCCAGAGTGTAGTCACCTGCATTGCCCTGGAGCCCAGAGTGTAGTCACCTGCACTGCCCTGGACCCCAGATTGTAGTCACCTGCATTGCCCTGGACCCCAGTGTAGAGTCACCTGCACTGCCCTGGACCCCAGAGTGTAATCACCTGCACTGCCCTGGACCCCAGAGTGTAGTCACCTGCATTGCCCTGGACCCCAGAGTGTAGTTACCTGCATGCCTGGACCCAGAGTGTAGTTACCTGCACTGCCCTGGACCCCAGAGTGTAGTTACCTGCACTGCCCTGGACCCCAGAGTGTAGTTACCTGCATTGCCCTGGACCCAGAGTGTAGTTACCTGCATTGCCCTGGACCCGAGTGTAGTTACCTGCACTGCCCTGAACCCCAGAGTGTAGTCACCTGCACTGCCCTGGACCCCTGAGTATAGTCACTTGCACTGTCCTGGACCCCAGAGTGTAGTTACCTGCACTGCCCTGGACCCCAGTGTAGTTACCTGCACTGCCCTGGACCCCAGAGTGTAGTTACCTGCACTGCCCTGGACCCCAGAGTGTTGTTACCTGCACTGCCCTGGACCCCAGAGTGTAGTTACCTGCACTGCCCTGGACCCCAGAGTGTAGTTACCTGCACTGCCCTGGACCCCAGAGTGTAGTCACCTGCACTGCCCTGGACCCCAGAGTGTAGTTACCTACACTGCCCAAGACCCCAGAGTGTAGTCACCTGCATTGCCCTGGACCCCAGAGTGTACAGTTACCTGCACTGCCCTGGACCCCCGAGTGTAGAGTTACCTGCATTGCCCTGGACCCCAGAGTGTAGTTACCTGCACTGCCCTGGACCCCAGAGTGTAGTCACCTGCACTGCCCTGGACCCCAGAGTGTAGTCACCTGCATTGCCCTGGAGCCCAGAGTGTAGTCACCTGCACTGCCCTGGACCCCAGATTGTAGTCACCTGCATTGCCCTGGACCCCAGTGTAGAGTCACCTGCACTGCCCTGGACCCCAGAGTGTAATCACCTGCACTGCCCTGGACCCCAGAGTGTAGTCACCTGCATTGCCCTGGACCCCAGAGTGTAGTCACCTGCATTGCCCTGGACCCCAGAGTGTAGTTACCTGCACTGCCCTGGACCCCAGAGTGTAGTTACCTGCACTGCCCTGGACCCCAGAGTGTAGTTACCTGCATTGCCCTGGACCCCAGGTAGTTACCGATTGCCTGGACCCAGAGTGTAGTTACCTGCATGCCCTGGACCCCGAGTGTAGTTACTCAGCCTGGACCCTTTACCTGATGCCCTGGACCCCAGAGTGTAGTTACCTGCATTGCCCTGGACCCCAGTGTAGTTACCTGCATTGCCCTGGACCCCAGAGTGTAGTTACCTGCATTGCCCTCATGAAAGAGAACATAAGCCGAGAAATCACACTCTAGTCCAGCAGTGCCGTTCTCTGAAGAGTTGTCATCATCTCCACTCTCCTCACTCATGCTTTCTTCTTCACTATTCATCTTGATACACTAATTTCTTCTTCACGCTGAGGACAAACGTGGTAGTCTTCTTCTTCTTCTTCTGCTGTTGGGTTTCAGGGCCACTGACAGCATACGCCGTATCGAGCCCGGCCGTCCAGTGCTAGGAGAGGGAATATCGACCAAAGTGGAAGAATGTCTTGACCAATAACGATGTATCATATGTCTCTGATACGCCCTGAAGCCAGCAGGAAGGAGCAGGTACAAGCCAATATCTCCTGACGGTCCAGAAGGCGAAACCCCTCCCCTTTGAGGAGGAGAGGTAGAGTGAAAGTGTGCACCCCAAGTGTGCGCAAGGCCGCTCGGAGAGTAGTCCGTGCAGAGTGATAACGTGGGCACCACAGCAGGAAGTGTTCCACCGTCTCAGGCTGTGAGGGACACCACGGGCAGTACGGAGAGTCCGTCATCCGAAGGCGATATAGATGAGCCGCCAGTCGCCAGTGCCCGACTCGAAGGCGAGTCAGTGCAACGTCCACCGAGCGATTGGGATGGCGAGCCCAAGGGCAGGGGCCATTAAAAGTTCGGACAGAGCCCAACGCCGAAGAAGAGAGGGAATGTGCAAGGCCCTCTTGCCACTGATGACGGATTCCCTTCCAAACAGCCCTTATGAAATCACTGTGGCCCAGGGTAAGAGGGGTAACAGTAGGAAGTGTGTGCGCGAGGGAGGCCGCCCGATCTGCCACTTCATTACCTCAGATTCCAACATGGGCGGGAACCCACTGAAGGGAGATGCTCCAACCTGGGCTCCGCAAGAAGCGCAGGAGGAGAGATTGTGTCCGACGAACGATGACGCACAGTGACCGCGGACGGGCAGAGAACAAAAAAGTGCCAGGGAAGATTGGGAATCAGAGAAGAGGACCAGTGGTTGTGGGGGAATGTGATCTAGGAAAAAAGCCAGAGCCTGGTGAATGGCGAAGAGCTCCCTTGCCAGAACAGAATGAGCAGGGTCCAACCGCCACGTTTGACACAGGGAGAGATTAGCGAAGAAGGCCACAGATGATGTAGAAGGGGGTAAGGACCATGTCGAGCCATCCAGACGGAGAATGAAGAGCCATACCTGGAGTTTACCTGGAGAGAGTTCCGGGGGTCAACGCCCCCGCGGCCCGGTCTGTGACCAGGCCTCCTGATGGATCAGAGCCTGATCAACCAGGCTGTTGCTGCTGGCTGCACGCAAACCAACGTACGAGCCACAGCCCGGCTGATCCGGAACTGACTTTAGGTGCTTGTCCAGTGCCAGCTTGAAGACTGCCAGGGGTCTATTGGTAATCCCCCTTATGTGTGCTTGGAGGCACACATAAGGGGGAGGCCCCTGACACTTACTGTATGGTCTCTTAACGTGCTAGTGACACCCCTGCTTTTCATTGGGGGATGGTGCATCGTCTGCCAAGTCTTTGTGAGTGATTTTCGTGTGCAAGTTCGGTACTAGTCCCTCTAGGATTTTCCAGGTGTATATAATCATGTATCTCTCCCTCCTGCGTTCCAGGGAATACAGGTTTAGGAACCTCAAGCGTTCCCAATAATTGAGGTGTTTTATCTCCGTTATGCGCGCCGTGAAAGTTCTCTGTACATTTTCTAGGTCGGCAATTTCACCTGCCTTGAAAGGTGCTGTTAGTGTGCAGCAGTATTCCAGCCTAGATAGAACAAGTGACCTGAAGAGTGTCATCATGGGCTTGGCCTCCCTATAACAGAGCGAAACTCTTCAAATAGAAATGCAACTAACTGAGGGGGTTCCCTGTTCCTGTAGTGCCAATCCAGGTTAATGTATCGTGTCAGGTCCAGCCAGGGGAGTGCCGGAGAGTGGAGAGGGGAGGGAGTCATCACAATTGCAGGAAGAGTAAGGCAGGACAGGGAACGCTGGGCCCTGGCTACAAAGGAAGGCTGAGCCAAACATGGGGGGACAGAGGCTGTCTCCCACATCTGTGAAGAGAGGCGACAGGGGTGAGTACAAGGCAGAAAGGCCATATGATGGAGTCGTAAACAGTTCCTCGCTGTCCTCACCGACGAGAGAGGGACTATCCCCGACTCTGCCTCCAAGGCTGCGATAGGGGTGGAGGGGAATGCCCCTAGCATATTACGGATGGCTGAATTCTGGAGAATGTCTATGCGATGAAGAGAGGAGGAAGAAGCCGAGCCATGCACCTCACTCACATAAGTGAGGTTGCTGCGAACCATAGCTATATAGAACTTATAGAGAAGGTCTCGATCCGCCCCCACTTGGTGCCAGAGATTCGGCGCATAAGTGCAATGCGACGTGCACACGAGAGGTGAAGGGCCGCTATGTGTTTCTTCCATGTCAAGAATGGTGCATCTAAGGTGACTCCCAGCCAACGATGAGAAGAGACCAAATGAATTGGCGTCTGGTTCAATGAGACTGATGGAAGAGTAGGGAGTCGGCGTCTAGTCACTAACCTCCAAACCCCAGGTGGTGGCCCATGATGTTATGCATTGCAGGGCACCCTGAAGTGTTTCCTGTGCTGTCAGTAAAGCTGGGACACTGCACATAAGAGCCACATCATCCACATATACCAGGGTATGCACTCACTGGATGGAAGGGAGATCCGACAATAAGAGAGAGAAAAGGAGTGGGCTAAGAACAGATCCCTGGGGCACTCCCCGGTATACAGGACAGGGTGAGGACAAAGCGCCACCCACTGCTAAACAAAAGGTCCTCCCTTGCAGAAAGTTGCGCATCCAACAGAGGGGAGCTCCTGTCAGTCCCATGCGGGCCAGCTTGAAAACAATTGCTGTGTGTGATGCAGAGTCAAATGCTCTGCGTAGGTCCAAAAATGCAGCCAAAAGGAACTCCCGGCATTCAAATGAAGTGTGCACAAGCTGGGTAAATTGAAGCAAAGGGTCGAGGGTGGATCGACCTTCTCGGAAGCCACTCTGGTTATCAGGCAGGAGGCCATGTTCCTCAATCCACCAAGAGAGACGAGTAGCCACCAGTCGTTCCAGCACCTTACCCAAGCAGGGCAGTAGAGCAATGGGCCGGTAAGAGCTCGGTTGGGTATCATCCTTGCCCGGCTTTAGAATCGGAATCAGAAGAGAGTGTTTTCACATATCAGGGAAGACACCTGTATACCAGCTGGTATTGAAAACCTCCAGCATAGCTTCTGTACAGGAGGGAGGTAGATATAGTATAAATGAATAGGGTAAGTTGTCCTCCCCTGGAGAAGAGCGGGAGCTAAAGGGAGATGCCAGCACCTGGCAGTGAACCTCGGGTACGGCAGGTGGCAAAGGGCCCCATTTGATCATCTTAGAGGGTAGAGTAGGAGGAGGAGAAAACATAGGACCGAAGAAATTTGCAAATGTCTCAGCCTTGTCCTGGGGTAAGAGTGGAGTCGCTCCTTCCCCCAGCAGGGGAAAAGTACTTACAGAACGTAATCCCAACATGGAGTGGAAGAAACCCCATGCCTGACTGGCAGAGGTACGAAAAGAAAGAGAAGAACAGAATAAAGCCCAGGATGCACGTTTCGCTTGGAGGAGGGTTCGCCGACAAAGAGCATCTTCCCTTCGGTAAGCCAGCTGCTGAGTCCGAGAGGGTTAGCGCTGCCACCGTGCCCACGCTGTCCGAAGCGCCTTCGCTGCTCGGAGGCACTCATCATTCCACAATGGAACCCGGGGCCGTGTACGGGAGAAGCTCCCGGAGAGACAGAATGAACGCGAGCCCGCCTCAAGCATGGCCCCTTGCAGAGACGCGACAGCCTCGTCCAGCAAGGAGTCCTGAGGCAGGCTGCAATCAGCAAGGGCCCGATTATAGTTTGTCCAACCAGCCTGGGTGATTTTCCACCGTGAACAAACTGCCGTCACCGGCACTGCTAAGGCTTCATTTGTAGAAACAAGGACTGGAAGATGGTCACTCCCAATGAAGGGGCCTACAGTAACAGTAGCTGTAGTAAAATATCCACACCCAGGAACGAGGTCTAGGGTAGAAACTCACCTGGTATAAGGATCCACTCTAGTCTCCAAACCTGGTGGTGTGAGCAACGAAAGGTGAGATGCGAGGAGGGTTTGGAACAGGGCCCTACCTGTGGGATTCACCAATCCCAAAGAAATGGATGGCTCCCAGAACTGGTGCCTTGCATTAAAGTCTCCTATTACAAGCATAGAACCACAGAGTTGTCCAAAGTAATAGGTAAATTCACTTTGTGTAACCGACCTGCCCGGATTATAGATCAGGAGTATGTTGCACCACTGAGTACCCAAGGCAACTCTCACAGCCAGAGTTTTCAACACTTCATTCTCATAGGCTTGGAGAGAGAGGGTCGTACTCTGGAGCTGGTTGCCTACAAGAAGAGCTAGGCCACCTCCGCTCCCTGCAAGGCGATCCCTACGGTAAACAGTGAAACCAGGCATCCGAAGAGAATGTCGAGGGCATAACCATGTCTCAGAGAGACCCACCACCAGTGGCTGTACCTCAGCCAGATACCTCTGAAGGTCTGGAAGCTTCCCCAGTACAGAACGTGCGTTCCAAAGAAGAAAAACAGAGGGGTGAGAAAGGTTCACGTGTGTGAACTAAGCAGCCCAATAAGGCGAGGGAGAACCGAGAGACATGCAATCACAAAAGAGGTGCCCTGGAGATAAGAATGTAGCACCTCCTCCACCAGGAGGAGGATAGGATGAAGGAATAAAGCCCAGGCAGGTGAGAGTGAGAAAGCGGGATCCTCAGACATGAAAGGTCCTGGAGTGGAGACAGGCCGAGGCTGGGGTTGAGGAGAATTGGGGGGAAGTCGGCTGCAAGACTGAAGGCACCGGGTCAGGTATGATGTCCATCTGAACTGGGTGGGGCTCTGAGCAATGAGTCGATTTGGGAACTGTACCACCTCGACAGGAGGACGTGCATTGTGGACGAATGAGGGCATGTGCAATAATTTCCGCAACGGAAGCCGGGTCCGAGGACACCCTGAGTTGATGTTGCCCTGGGGGTGGGGAATCCTCTAAAGGGAAAGTGAGGTCCACAAGAGCCCCAAACCGATTTGTAACAGGGATATTAGCCCTCACAGCTGTGGAGTACAGATGCCCTGGCAATGTTGGTGTTGGGGAGACTCCCTTAGTGGGGGCACTGGAGGCGAAGGAGGCAG